GTTATAAAATGTTAATGAGTCAGTTGTTATCTCAGTGAAGCTAGGACAAATGTTAATGGTATCTGTTTCTGGGTGTTGGGATTTTGAGATTATTTTTGCTTATCTATTTTCTTGATATTTTTCAACAAATGAGTACTAGTTTAATAAGAAAAACAATGATGTTATCTTTTTTTTTATAAAATCAATGAATTTTATTAACAGTCTCCCATTTGTCCTTTGAAAATTTGATGGCTATATACATTAGTAATTCTGTAACAGGTACTTGATTTTCAAAATGAAAATAGATCAGATAGTTTTTTTTATATAAAACAAAGCAAAAAAGGGTCATATAAAGTATCACAGGGGCTTACTTTATTAATAGGTAAGCCATAAATATCCTGATGAATTATTTCCTGATGAGAAATAAGAATTACCCTGGCTCAGGGTTATATTTTCTTGGAATATCATCAAAGCATAAGCAATTCACATAGCTATTCTAACTTTGCATTTTAAGGAGTAGTTTTTAACATTCCTGCATAGATAAGATAGCTCCTGGAAGCTTCCCAGTGCTTAACTATTTCTTTGATGACTCAATATAGTGGTTGATTTATTAATATGAATGTTAAAATGATATATATTTATTAGATGTCTATTAGGTATTTAGATACTAACTGCTGAGTGTGAGGTATGGCCTCTGACATAAAGGAGCTACAGTATTTTGGGGGAAACAACTAATATGAGAAAAATAGAATAAATTTTTTAAAGAATATAATCCAAACGTGAGTCGACTGAAGAGACAGGAGCCACGGTATTTGTATAAAGCAAATGATACATGTAGGCTGAGCGTTTGGGGAAAGGGGCAACTTGCCCTGCTTTGGAAAGAAGAGTAGGATTTGGGTTGAGAGAGGAGAGGGGAAGCATTTCAGCTAGAAGGATGAAGGTCTAGAGTCCACTGGCCGAATGTGGTAATTGTGGTTGTGTTTACTGCCTTTTCTCCGAGTCAGGGATTTGGTCCTCCTAGGGCAGTGAGGATGTCTGGCTGGAAGAGTCCTGTCTCTCTGAAAAGGAAACAGTGAGAGAAGATGGCAGGACCGGGTTAGTATGCTCTGTAGGGGTGTCTTTGCTTGGCTTCTCCGATACCATGCTCTGAGCTTCCTCCCACTTCGCTGACAGACCCTTCTCTACTCAAGCCCTGAATTCTGGGCTTCTCCAAGGTCCTTCCAGCTTCTTTTCTGACTTGATTCTCTTTTCCTGGATGAAAGTGGAGGGTTCTTTCCATTCCTATGATATAAAACAGGTCCTTGGAGAGGTGATAGATTCTCAGGCTGGGGCAGGGACGATACAAGGTGAGCCTGAGGATCTTGTAAAACCGAAAAATATGGAAGTACAAAGGGTGCGGCACATGGAAAGGACACAGGAGCCAACCCGAAATTCCTCGCGATGACCAATGAATACTGGAGCCATTTCAGTAACAAAATAAAATATTGGATTATAAAACAGTAAAATAAATATTCAGAAGTCCATAGTGACATAATTGATTGATAAGTAAACGGTGGAGAAATAATGACTGCTTGCAGAAGAATTCCAGTTAATAAATGTAGAAGGAAAGAAGGAAATAGCAAATCGTCACTAGAGCACTAGAACATTAGTCCGACTTGCTGTAGGCAAGATCCACCTGCGAGTGCTAAAATGAGTGGGCAGAAGTTTGAGGAGAAAATGGGTATTTGCATAGCCTCAAAATATTTATTATTTACAAAGGGAAAAAGAGTAATGTTACGGTACCTACAAGCATAGTAGATGCCACCTTAATCAAGCGATCATAGTTTTTAACATCACCAGTAAGAGGACATGGACCCCTGACATGATGCACTGAACAGGGCCCCTCACCTCCGTGATATCATTCCTGTTAGTGCACAACCTTAATCTGATCTTGAGAAACCACCAGTGTACAGGGCTAGAGTGTCAGGGTTAGACTGTTATCCATCTGGCACCCATCAGGAGTGTCAAGGTCGTGAAGGACAATGAGAAACTGAGGGAGATATTTGAAACAAACAAGCAAAAAAAAAAAAAAAGGATTTGTCACATCCTTCCAAGAGACCAAGAAGAGACTCGATCAAAATGGCAATCCCTGGCAAAGTGGAGGTCATAGAGTGCAGCAGACACTGTCAGCACTGTGCCCACATCCCCTTGGCTGTCACCTCCTTGTGCAGAAGGCTTCTCACTGTGAACACCTGCATCTCTCTGCAAGGAGCTTTGTTCTGGTGGTAAACAGGCTCACTTGTGAGCCCAGCTGTCAACCGCCCCAGACACAGCCCTTAGCCAATGACGGTCCATGAGGAGGATAAAAGCCCCAGCCTCTTTGGTCCTCGGGTAGAATAACCCGGAGACACACTGTCCAATGCAGTAGCCACCAGCCGCATGTGGTTACTGAGCATTTAGCATGTGGCTAGTGTGACTGGGGGTCTGCATTTTCAGTTTTGATTTCAATTAATTTAAAGTAAAACATGATACTCTTCAGTTATTGGAAGTCCTTTAAGTAGGTTTAGAAAAACTTAGCTACATAAATCTACTTGCTAACTGTAAATTTTCCAAAATCTAAATACACATCAGGATGAAACTTTAGTGTCCAAGTCAAGTTAATCCTATAAGTATAAAATTGATTTCGATGACTTAGTAAAAAAAACTTAATGTCATTAATAATTTTTATATGTTGAAATTTAATATTTTGGTTTTAATACGTTGAATAAATTATTAAAATTAATTTTATTTTTTATCACCTTTTTAAATGTGGCTACTAGAACATTTAAAACAACCAGTTTAGTTTGCTTCATTGCTTCATAGTCTACTGGCCAGTGCCAGTCTACACTGCCTCCCTGGGTCGTTCAGTGGATTGAACTCCTAGAGCCCGCAGTGGTAACTGGCTTGCTAACACACATTATATTATTATTGGCTTCCTTTCCTTCTCATTTTCCTGCTTCTCTGCTAAATTTCCTGAGATTACCTCCCAGGTGGCACTAGAATCTTTGACTCAGGGTCTGTTTCTGGGGAATCCAAACCGTAACAAACAGCATTAAGAACAAGAAAGAATTTTAGAGAATAAATATCCCAACCTCTTATATTTGTAGATGGGAAAAAAAAAAATGTGATTCAGAGAGGTTACATGACATCACCAAGGCCACTCCATATTTGGCTGTGAATTGAGAATTCAATTTCAAATCTTAGGTTTCCACGTCCATTTATTTTCTCCCTATAGTACATTGCCTTTTAAAGATGATCATCAATTTTTGAGACAGTGATTCCTAAGAGCATTGGGCTCATGGGACCAAGTGAAATGAACAATCTGTGTTGGCTTTGCACATGCCCTTTAAACCTGCTCAGAGGGTAACCTTTCTCTGCTCCTGGTGGGAAACCTGGAGAGGCTTCTCGACTCTTCTGGTCCTTCTCATGTAACTGCACATCCTCTGGTCACCTGGAGTCACAATCTCATCTCAGAATTTAGAGCATCTGATGTGAATCCAACTGAATTTACAGTTAACTCGTTTTTCTTTCTCCCTCCCCTTCCTCAACTTGGCTAATCGGAGTTTCCGACCCTGCAGGGGTTGAAGCAGAGACGCACAAGGAGCAGAGAGGCGGGAAATCCACTTAACTGGTACCATTTTTTAAAATTGAAGTAGAGTTAATTTACAATGTTGTGCTAGTTTCTGGTGTACAGCATGGTGATTCAGTTATACACGTATATATGTATGTTCTTTTTTATAGTCTTTTTCCTTACAAGTTATTACAAGATTTTGGATGTAGTTCCCTATGCTACATAGTAGGACCTTGTTTTTTTTTTATCTATTTTATATACAGTAGTGTGTATCTATTAATCCCAAACTCCTAATTAATCCGCTCCCCCCTCTTTGCCCTTTGGTAACTGTAAGTTTGTTTTCTATGTCTGTAAGTCTCTTTCTGTTTTGTAAATAAGTTTATTTGTATCACTTTTTTAGATTCCCTGTAGAAGTGGTAACTGATACATCTGAAGACGAGGTGGCCCTCTCTATGTCTGGGAAACATTCAGCACCGACATGTTCTCTCTTAGACACTTTGGTAGGTTTTGAGAGTTTCCTCTGCTGGGCCTCTCTGACTGAAACCCCCTTGATGTGGTAGGTCTCCAGGGGGCAGCACCCCACCCTCAACCCCCGCCCCTGGTCCTCTGTCAGTCTGCTCCACGCAGACTCTCTCTGGGGTCCTCTTGGGTAGAAGTTTGAATTACTCCAGTCTGATCACCTGTTCTGGGATGTAAGCACATTTTCACCTGTTGTCAGTGGAAAGCGCAGATAACCTCCCAGGCCAGCAATGGCCCTCCCACGGTGCGGCCACCAATAGAGTTCCCATACAGGAGCTATCGTGCTTTCCCATATAGATAGGAGTTCAGTCAAGGTCCTCTGGGTCCCCCAGCTGCAAAGAACACAGGTGAAGCAGCAGCTCAAGGGGGCTCATTGATGCCCCACTAGGTTTGGGGTGGTGGGCAGTGGTGGGTTCTCCTCCTTCCCCTTGTGAGCTGAACTCAAGAACAGTTCTCTTTAAAGTTATTCCCCTCACAAATTCCTCTTTCATCTCCCACACCTGGCCCCTTTATAACCTTGAAATAGGTGAGGGGTTCCAGGAAATTCTTAAGCAAGTTTCTGCATACCTCTTCTGTAAATTTCCATATGGTCGAGCACCTCCTTTGTCATATGGTGTTATTCTAATGTGGTGACTCACCTGAAATTACAAACTTCATATTCTGATATATTACAAAAAAGTTGAGCTGGGCATAAGTGAAACAGCCTTGATCAATGTGGACCTTTTATCACTGGAGTTTGGCAATGAAAGAAAGAAACAGGTTAGCGGTCAGGTAAGTAGCAGATAAAGCGAAAGTTTAGTTTTAGGGTTTGTAATTGTTTTGTAGATAAGACATGCAGGCTTTTATATGTTTGAAAAGATCTGGGGTGAAGCTACAGAGAAAAATAGTGTTTTATTGTGGTAGCTTGTTTTTTTTTCTTTTTGTTTTTGACTTCAACTGTATGCTTTTTAATGAAATAAATAAATATTGCCTGTCTTGAGAGCTGTGTGATTTCCTTTGATAACTGCTAAGACACCAGAGGTTCCCATTGTTTTTGATCCTCTTTGATCTGTCTCAACTACTCTTTTTTACAGCATTGTAGCATTTTTGCAATTTTTATATGAGAATGAATGATTAAAGTTAACACTGTCGCTATAATTAATTGAAGAATATGGCTGTACCTACACAATAAAGTCATTTGCAAGCATCCTGTTCATCTTTTTCTCAGTGGATTATTATTTTATTTGCATAGATACAACTGTAGCCACAGCAAGCAAATATCTTCTTAACAAAAGAAATAATTTAAAAATTTTAGACCATTTCACAGTCTCAAAGGTTAGTATCAAAGCATTTCAAACAGCATGCCTGTTAGAAAACTTATCACTGTCTCTTACAGGAACAAGAAGATGCTTAGTAACCAAACTCCAAATACACCAAACTCTAAATTTCTTGTTTGAAAATAATGTACAATGCCCATCCCAAGTTGGCAATTTTTAATGGGTCCTTTCCAGTATTGTTTAGAAAACTAAACAGCAAAGCTTTGTTTAGCTGGATAATTCATCAAGGATTTTCACTGTTCGTTGTCTACAGGGATTCCGGGGGGAACAGACTCAAATTTGATGCCCTATCAATATAGCACAAGTCATGACAGTTTTCTGCAATTTTAGCATTCAGGCAGTATTAGCCTTGCTTTAAAATGAACAAAGAAGAAAAGAAAGGAGAAAGATGTAATGTTAATAGACCGCCTTCTGTGCTCCCTCAGGGGGAGGTCTTTTTAAATAAGGGGCTTGAACTTGACCTTCGTCATGGCACAGAGGTCCAACACACAGTTTTTAAAGTTACGTTTAAATTTTAATAATTTTACTCATTGGAGGCAGTTAGAATGAGACTCTCAAAATCTAATCCTCAATCTTTCCATGTAACTGATTGGCAAAGAAAGGACACTTAAGGAGAGAAGTCTGTAAGAAGTACAGCATGGATTGCCCTGACTTCTGTATCTCACACCATC